TGATCTCCCAAGGGAGGTCCCCTATCCGAGTCACGGCACTAAAATGTCATGCGCGTCCATGTGAAGAGACCACCAAACAGGCTTTGTGTGAGCAATAAAGCTTTTTAATCACCTGGGTGATGGACGGCTGAGTCCAAAAAGAGAGTCAGCCAAGGGAGATAGGGGTGGGGCTGTTTTACAGGATTTGGATAGGTAAAGGAAAATTACAGTCAAAGGGGGTTGTTCTCTGGCGGGCAGGGGCGGGGGGTCACAAGGTGCTCAGTTGGGGAGCTTTTGAGCCAGGATGAGCCAGGAAAAGGAATTTCACAAGGTAATGTCATCAGTTAAGGCAGGAACCAGCCACCTGGGTGTGTACGTGCAGGTCACAGGGGATATGATGGCTTAGCTTTGGCTCGGAGGCCTGACACCCAGTACTGTGCTAAGCACCAGGGATCGAGAGATAAAAGACACATTTCTTCCTTTCACGTTGCCCATATGGTTTTAATGGGGCATTAAAAAAAATGCATGTTAGTCATAATTATTAAGAATCGGACTACTATATATAAAATACAGTGTGTGCACTTTGCTTCAGAAACAGCAACTCTCTTGTCACTTGAGCCATGGTAGAATCTGATTTTGCCATTGCCGGATTACCAAGGAGTGCTCCTAAGGTGGAGGCCGGTTATTTGTATTTGCTCAGTTTCATATCATTGCTTCTCTAGTTGCGAAGTTGCTATTGTTACTAATATTAATCATTCTTTACACCTAATAATGGGCTTGTATTTTTCGAAGTGAATTTCAACATAGGAACTAAGAATTGATTTGTACTATAGAATAAAAAAATACCATTAGAAAAGATCATGCATGCTGAAATAGGCTGCAAAGGAAGCTGTGAAACCTTTGATGGTTTTAAGGAGAAGGAATTCATGGCTGTTTTGGATGATCATGTTACATCGTGCAGCAGAGATGGTGGAAAACAGGAAAGCAGAGTAATGAGCCAGATCACTACTTTCTATTTCTGTAAATGTAGATGACTAGAGAAATGTGAAGTGTAGAAACTCCCTTACGCATTACAGTCAACTTAGTTTTAGCACAATGGCTGATTGGTCTTCCAATAGTCATTGTTGCCTCGGACTAGACAAAAGAGCAGCCTTTCCTATACTTTTTCTTTAAGTCCTTCATTCCAGCCCATAGCCTAGCACAGGCTCACACCACCCCGCCACTGTAGGAAGTGCCCTAAGTAGTGTTGCATGGAGTCTATTATCATGAAAACTGAGCTCAATCTAGAATAGACTGTGCTGTTCTTCTGTAAAGTTCACAGGTACTTTCTCTTAAATCTCTGCATAAGGATATGCAAGTGACTAGACTTAATCCCAAACCGTAAATTTATCTTGTTTCCTATTAAAGATAAATCATTGGTGAAAAATAATTTGAAATGGTGACAATTTGGAATAATTTCAAAAACTAAAAGAGATTATTTATACATGAGCATTTGGTGTGTATTTTGCCACATAACATATTTTGTGTATTTCACTAGCAATTCCCTCTCCTCAAAACCACAAAAACATCTAATTACTACTTTTTAAAATAACGTATTTGTGTATGCTGTTTTGTTCTAAATGTAAATCAGTAGTCTCTGGGTATAGAAAAAGTGATAATAATTGTAGTCATATAAATGTTTATGTTATTATACTATGTAATACATTGAGGTATCTCTGAAAGAATAATACATCATAAGACAGTTGTAAATGTTCATATATCTTTATCATGTAATTATTAAAAAATATAATTAAGTTTTTCTATTAATTTTTGTATGTAATTATTACATGAAAATGAACTAAATCAAACTGTAACCCCATATGTGTATTTAGTGTATATGTGTGTATGTATATATGTGTATATATATTCACATGCATGTACATGTGCATGTATATATGTGTGTATATATATTCACGTGTGTGTATGTATATGTATATGTATGTATGTGTGTATATATATTCACATGTGTGTATGTATATGTGTATTTATATATGTGTGTATATATATTCACGTGTGTGTATGTATATGTATATGTATGGTGCTTGTGTATATGTATGGTGCTACTCTCTGTGGGTTTAGAGAGTATAGAAAGGAGACTGATAGGCTTCTTAATAGGGTTGTAGTTTCTTGGCCTTTTCAAACACTTTCTGGAACCTTCATGAGTTTAGAAAGCAGAAATTCATCTGGTGAATTCAGATCTACTCACAGGTTATTGGATAGCTTAATACACTGATAATATTTTAATAACAAAAATTGTCCCAAGAAAGTAAAGGAAAACAAAATTGCTTTTTATCTTAAAAGAATAAAGTATTAATGAAAATATATTTGGCTTATTCATTTAATGACTGTTCAAAATCTAAATATTTTCTATCACAGGCCCACAGATGTGACCCTTACTCTGAAAGATCCTCATTATCCTGACCATGATCTTGGAATCATTTTGCTCTCAGTCATCCTTACCCCTAAAGAAGGAGAGTCCAGGGATGTGGTAAGTTCCCCCACAGCCTAGTAGGAGCTCTTTCTTGCTCTCTCTTGTTCGAATGTTGTGAGCCTTTCTTTGGACCCAGAGGTAGTAATGAAGAGAAGCTGCCTATGAAAATATGCCCTGTTCTTTATTTCTGTGAGTATCCTAGGTATTGCTCATTCATGCTTATTGTATCTTTTCAACTCTAATTTCCTGTTCCACCCTCCAGATCAGAACCTCTTGTTGTAAATAAGAAACAGATTTGAATTTTTATTTTAATTTTATTTCTCAATTTCAGACATGTTATATTATAGGCAAATATTAGTATTCATTTGGGGAATACATTTATTAGTGAATTGAATACTTGGAATTCCACGTTAAGGTATCCAGACCCTGCTGTTTTGACTGCATTGTCAGGTGTACCACAACAGAGAAAATGAGGTGAAATTATAACAGAGTTTCTGCTTTCTGGTATTTGTTTACTGAATGATAAGTGAGTACTTTTCATCTTCTTGATGGGCTTCCATATTGATATTACCCATTTTTCAGCACTAGCTGTCTGTACGTCCTTGCACACCATGCTGCTATGAGAAACTGACAAGGGACACAGAGGAGCCAATTACTCCCCCCAAGTTGAAGTGACATTAAAAAATATCAGGCTTGACCCACATCAGTATGCTTACTAGTGTACTTTCTGCCACAACTTGCCAGAGATTATTTGTTAGACTCAATGTGCTTTCATGTGCCTGGGAACTACTCTAACTAGCTCTGACTATAACACATTTTAGTAGTAGACATAATTTTTTTAGGCAAGTCGAAATACTCTATTTCAGCAATGTATGTATTGCTGTCCTGAAATAATGCATGATTAAAGTTGGTTATAGATTGTCTACTGGAAAGGTATTGTTGGCATTTTCCACTAGACTGTAGGTAAATATTGTGAAATTCAACTTCAAATTTGGAAATACTTTAAACTCATTGAAAAATTCACCCTTCCAAGAATTATTTCTCTCCATCCTTTTTAGAAATGTAATGATGACACGTATGTTTATATACAATATTTGCTAAATTGGGTTAAGTATCTGTACTTCATTCACTGAGGAAGAAGTTTCTCTTTTTAGATAAGAATTACCAGATAGTAATGCCTAGTGTGAGAACTTAGCTTGGTAAAATTATGTATGTATGTATGCACATGCACCCTTGTGCAGAGGGGTGGATGAGAAACAATTTTTACAAAAAGTATTTAGAAATGAAAGCCCGTCATCTTAGAAGTCACTACTTCAGAAGACATTATTTCACCCAGCACAAGCCAAGAAGTATAACCTAGCTGGCTAATCCATACATAGGAATCAATTGTAAATGTTCATTTTGTGTTTTATTCAAATAATTCAATGAGTCTAGTATTCACCAAGAACCTACTTTAAGCCGGTTCCTGTGCTGAACACTTAGGATACAATAGAACTTAGACCCAGTGGAGAACCCAGGAATCAATTAATCACTGATAGGAACAACTGTTTTAAATGCTGTGAAAAAGAGGTACATACTGCTGAAAGAGCAAATATAGGAAAATTTTTAGTAGCCAGGGGTTAAGGATTCTCGAAGGAAGTCAAATAACACCTGAAATATGAAGTGTAAAACAGGCCTTAATAAAGCAAAAACAAGAAAGAGAGGTGGTATTTAAAGCAGAGGAGACAACACACACAAAGGCCAGGTGACAAGAGGAACCATGTTGCATTTCAAGAATTGAAAAACCACTGGAGTTTAGAGAAGGTGGAAGCAAAGACAGTGTGGGTGATCAGAGTGCATAACGACACTGGGGTGGAAGGACGATGCCCAGACCGTGTAGAACTCATTGACCATGTTAAGTTTTGGGTCTTTCCCCAAAAAACTGTGGGGATCCATTGAATGATCTGTGAATCGAAAGCAGTGGAATCGTATTTGCCTTTTGAAAATCTTTGTGGCTGCATTGTAGAAAATATATTGAAGGGGTAAGAATGGATACCTGGAGACCAATTAGGAGGCCATGGTGAAAATCCAGGTGAAAGATGATGGAACTTTGGATTAGAACTGTCAGAGGTAGAGATGGAGGGAAATTGGCAGGTTTACCTATAGGAGGTAAAAATCAAGAAGACTTGATGATAGAATATTCTTGTGCTGGGGTTCTTTGTTATTTTGATGAAGGACAGCACTTCATAAATCAAGATACCTAAGTGTCTGAGATCCTGTGTAGTCCCAGACCATCTAAACTTGCAATATTCCTGGAGATTGGAATGATATAGCAGTGATTGTGGTGATTTGGGTGATGTGATAATGTACAGTCAACTGAATTTTTACATTAAAGGGATGTTTATTAAACACTCTAACATCAAACTGAGGGTTTGAGGGAGCAAGTTAATATCAGCAGACCCTACTATGAAGCTGCTGAGTTGTTCTAAATTACACAGAAATATATGTCAACAAAGGCAAAGTAGTTTCCAACATTATTTTTTCTTCAACAATCCTTCAAAAATCCCTCAATCTCCAGGGTTGTTCAAATTTACTTTTTAAATATAAAAATTATTTAAAAATATTACAGTGCCTGGGAGCTGATCATCAGTAAGTTATCAAACACAAATAAAGAAAAAAATAGGTAGGTTACATGAAAGTAGTTATACATCAAAAATACGGTTTTCTTCACCTTCTTTTCCTCCTTTTCCTTTCTCTTCATCATATCTCTTCAACCACATTCACCCTTAACACAAAAAGTTCCTTCTGAAATCCTCATGCTATTTTCTTGGCTCAAATCCATTTGACTACCCCAGATTTTTTGGAAGAAATCTTTCCAAAGGTATTTTTCATCTCAGAAAGTTTTTTTGCATTCATTGCCTTACTTCATGCCCTCTTCTTTCAAAGTTCCAGAGAGCACATGCAGTGCTCTCTGCTGCATTAAGAGAGAAATGGTGTCTTCTCTCCTTCTCTCCTGTTATTGACTCTCTTATGGCTTCTTTCTTCATCAGAGAAGCAAGTGGCTCAACCAGGGCTTAGAAAAGACACAGTGATCAAGTCTGTTCAGAGCCAGCCTCTGGCTGGTGAACATCCTTGTACTTTCCGTCCTGACCTCGGTCACCCCTGAGGAAGCAGAGAGAAGGGTAACCAGTGTGGTTATCCTGGCTCATCCTCGTGGGTACAATCAATAGCTGAGGCATGGGCTTGGTTGTATAGAAGCAAGCAGGGCCAGAGGAGAGGGGAGAAAGGAGGGAGGGGAGAAAGATTCCCCCTTGGAGATTCTACTGGGATTCAGTATCCTGGCTATTGGGATGTCCTAAATTTGAACCTGGGTTTGTAAATATATGCTCTACGTTATGAAAATGCCCCAAAATACATATAAATTGGCTTTTCTTTTGTGTTTGTCCTACATTGCAGTTCTATAACTATTTTATTAAGCTCTCTAAAACTGATTCTTATATTTAGCAACACTGGTTGTTAGGTTTTGAAACTCTGAATAAGAACCATTTGTAGGCATCTGTATAAAACAAAATACTTATTGATCATCTACTAAGCATTATACTAGGCTTTATAACACCCTCTTTCTTCTTCTTCTAAGTTTTCAGTGACTTGTGGCTATTTCTCTAATTAAATGGAAACTTCTGGTGAGAAATTTTAAGGCTCTCCAACAAGCAATGTATGTTCCCTCACTGTAACTTCTGTCCCAGCCATACAAACTCCTTCACGGTTCACCTTCTCTCAAGTCCAGGCTTTCTTCAGCGTTACCTGTGTACCTAAAATATGCCTATGTATAGTTCACCTTGCCTCCATCCTACATCCTATCACTCATATGAGGGGAATTATATATATATAATACATGAAGTCTTCCTTATGACGACTTCAAAAGACCAAGTGAGGGTATATGGTTTTTTTCTTACCTCAATATTCAAATCCCTGAGGTTGTCACAAACAATATCAACTCATGATTAAATAATGATTTAATTTTCTTTTGTAAGTTCTCAAAATTAGTATATTAATGATAGTCTGCTTGAAATCAAGCCTTATTGGTCTTCCCACAGAATTCTAATGATTGACAATAAGTTATAAACCCATCACTGTATTTTCTTCATTCTGTAACATGTCAAATATCAGCTTAGTAATTTTTCTGGGCTACATTTGAAGTTTCTTGGTTAAAAATCACAGATCCAATGTATCTTCTAGTTAAATTTTCAGATATCTAAAAGACATAACATACTGCAGCTGTAAAAATGGCATGCTGAACTTTCACAAATTATTCAGAAACAAATTTTATTTAGAGAAATTTAAGCTAAAAATGCAACAAACCAGAAATCAGTCACTGTATGCTTCACAATCCCTAGAAAACGAGAATTATGTAAGAAAGGAATAAAGGCAAATTTTACATTGACCCTCACAGAGTAAAGTTACAAGAGTTCTGTTCTCTTTGATTACTAGCTCAGAAATAATTTATTTCAGGCTTTTAGCACTGAAGATGTTAGTTCAAAAACCACATGTTTATTCGTATGCCTGTATTGATAAAACTTTGCTAAATATTTTATATGTATTAAAAATGGAGAATGAAAGAGATGTGTTTCAAGAGCCTTTTACAGATAAATCCTAACGATCAAATAGGAAATAGAACATTAATGTGAATAAAATGCTATGCCAAGGTAGGAAGAAATGAGTAACTGGAAGTACAGAGTCCTTAGCATTACAAAGTGGTAAGATTTCTAAAACAGTCATCTTGTGAGTTTTTTATGCACTGTTAATAGTAACAATACGTTCCATGAATTATGCAGTTGGGATGATTTCTCCTTGTGTGGATTGCCAGCTCTAGAAATCAGTAAAAGTGAAGAACGAGTTGAAAAACCTATCAGCCTACTGAATCTACTAAAGCCTCTAAAATATTCGATGTCTAATTGCAGCAATCTGTATTTCATAGGTGCCATATCAAAATCTTCTCCATTGAGGTCATGATTGAGTCTTTTAAAAAAATTCCCAGATGTGAACAGATCTATATGTATATACATTTTAAGTCTCCAGCATTGTGTGTACAAGAAACCAAAACCTCCTTGGGGGGCATGCTGATGAGTTGCATGGCACAATTGTCATTTCTGTTTTGATTGCATGTCCTATTTTTGAACCTGTAAAAGTGTGTAGTGCATATATGTGTGTCCTATATATGGCAATTTGTCTGATAGTGTGTTTGAGTTCTTTCTGGCTCTTTTTCTAGCAGAGTTCAATCCACAGCTTTCTTCACTGGAGAATTTGTGAAATAAAAGTGAGTTAATTTGTGTTACACACTCTCTTAAATAACCTAGACCTACAAATTGCTTGCCTAAGGCTAAAAAATAGAAAATTCAAAGAAACATATGAATGACCTTAGTTGGCCTTTGATGAGTTAAAAAAAAAAAAAAAAAAAAAAAAACTTCTTTGTCTTGGATTAGTTTTGATATTCTTCAGAATTATTACACAGCCAACATTTGAAGAAATATCTACCTACAAAAAGTTGAATATATGTATGCTTTATGAGATGTATGTTACTATTGTATCTAATTATTCTGTGATTTTTTATATGTACAGTAGTTATATAATTGCCTAAAAAGTCACTTCAACAAAAGATAAAAATTAAAAAATGGATTGAGATTGTGGAGTCTTTTAAAAACGATTCCTTCTGCAGCTCTATCACAAGCCATATTTTTATGCTACTTCATTCCTTTTACTGGCTTCAAGGAAGTTAAGCTGCTAATGAAGAATTTGAATTGTACTATAATAATATCAGGTAATAATCCTTTCAAAAATTAATTCATATGTTTCTCAGCTGAAGTTAAGACCATAGAGCAAAAAATAAATCTTATTTTTCTATAATTTGCTTCATCTTCTATTTTTAACAATCCCCAATCTTCCTTCTCTAACATGTCTCACAGATAGCGAGAAAACATTATTAATAGTTTATCTATTAAATTAATTTTCTTTTTAACTTTTGTACTGTTTTAGTTTTATTGAATTGACCTTAACCCAACTACCTAAAAGAAAAAGGGACTTAGAAGTGAGATACTTAAACCCATTGCTTTGCTAGTAGATTTGGCTCAAGAGGCAGAAATGTTATAAAATCTAGGGTCATTTTGAGAGTCACTGGGTATAGTAATAGAACTTTAGATACTGAATTAGGAAAATAATGAATGGGTTCTCATAACTGCTAAATCTTTCCTATTTATACTTAGGGTAATCACTGACTTTTTATTGTATCAGTTTCTCAATCTGAAAAAGAAAACCTTGCAGCCTGCTTATAAAGCTATTTTGAGAGACAGGACAAATACTGTCCCTATATTTTGTTTTACTGTAGAAGGTTAATTTAATGTGGTGCTTGTGAGTCAAGGGATGTGACTTTGTGGAATCCTTGTAATATTGACTAGTGTTACCATGAGATTTCACTCTTTCTAATGTTCTATGGCCCTTTTACATAGCATAACATTTCTTATATAATAGAATTTTATATGATAAAATTCTCAGATGCTAGATAATGATGATAAATGACCATGAATTAGTAGATTGTACTTTTTATATATCTTGTTATTGATTGATTTGACTCAAAATATTGTCTCTAGGAGATACCATTCTTTGTCCATTGAAACTCTGCTTGGTGAGAAAGTTGAACATTTATTATCCAACTCTTATGGGGCAGTTTTTGTAAATATAACATACCACTTAAGTATTTGGTTTCTAGTTGCCTTTTGGTGATGATGAAGGAAGTGGTGGTGGTGGTGATGATGATGATGATGATACTGATGATAATATATCATTTAACATCAAAAATAAAGATTTATTACATGTCCCCCTAGATGGCCACCTCTATAACCCAATGCTGGGATTTGTTGCTTCAAAATGAACTGGACATTTAGTACTTTGAAAACATAAATTATTTCTATAATAGTATTTGATAACAGTGCTTTGCAGTTTCCTGACTAAAAAAAAAAAAAAGGAGGGGTGATGAGGAATCATTGTAACCTTAGGAAATCTATTATTATTTTATGTTTTGGTCAACATTTAATAAAGACTGTATGTAGAGAAAATATGCCCTATACGACCACTCCCTATAGAAAAGAGGAACGTATAATTATCTTTGAAAATGTTATGCTAGTCTTTGTTTTTACCCTAGAATGTACACATTCATTCTTGTGGTTTAGGTTAAAGGTTGCCCTCATCTTATATTAAAATCTTTCCATTTTTGTGTTATTCTAATCCATGAGTAGTTTCTGACGTGGTTCTTTTTTATGGTGAATCCTCCTGAAAGAGATACAGTTCTTAAAGTGTATTTCCCTGATATACAAATATGGCGCAAGCACTTTAAGCTATATTCCTTGCCCTGAATATTTCCTATTCTCCACTTCATCTGCCTTAAAGATAATAGTAAAGCAAAGAGAGGGGAAAGAGGTTAATCAGGAAGGTTAATACTTCAGTGTTCATTGAGAAATTTTTTAAAGTGAAGAGAGGAAACAAAAAAAATCATTGAGCTTTTATGATTTAGTTTATTCAAGAGATTAGTGATCTTGGGGATGCATTACAAAGCTCTAGAACCTTAATTAAAACTTTTGGCCATACATATTTATTAGTATGACACAAACTAACTAGTTTAAAGGATATGCTTTCACTAAACATTTCTTTTTTCTTTTTTTTTTTTTTTTTGAGACGGAGTCTTGCTGTGTCACCCAGGCTGGAGTGCAGTGGTGCGATCTCAGCTCACTGCAAGCTCCGCCTCCTGGGTTCACGCCATTCTCCCGCCTCAGCCTCCCGAGTAGCTGGGACTACAGGCGCCCGCCACCGCACCCGGCTAATTTTTTTTGTATTTAAAGTAGAGACGGGGTTTCACTGTCTTAGCCAGGGTGGTCTGGATCTCCTGACCTCGTGATCCACCCGCCTTGGCCTCCCAAAGAGCTGGGATTACAGGCGTGAGCCACCGCGGCAGGCCTCACTAAACATTTAGCAGGAAAATGCACTAGTAGCCATTACAGTATGCAGCATTTGTTTTCAATCGAAAGCATCTGTAGACTCTGATGTAGTTAAAGATGAACTGGAAGCAGAGACAATTCTACAATGCCACCAAAGCAAAAGATTTTGAATGTGTTTGAAGAGAAAAAATATTATATACCTGATCAAGTCATGTACACCCTCAACCTCCACCACCAAAAGGAGCCATTGGAAATTATGAGACTCAGTGTGTTTTTTCAGTCAGTAAAGGCATCCCAGTACTGGTCCCATTTTTTTTTTTTTAAACAAAGGAATAAATCAAATGAACTCTCACCAGAAAGACTGCTGGAATGTTAAAGTTGTTTCTCTAGTCGTGTGTGCGTGGAAAACAAGTTTTGTGTTGTGCAATTGCTGCAGGAACTGTTTGCTGTTTCAAGGGCTAATGTTTCCGCTAAAAAACAACTGGCTGCCCTCTTCTGTACTTGAGTGAAAAGATAATGAAAATGCTTTATTTTATTTACAGACAATGCTAATGAGGAAGAGTTGGAAAAGATCAAGTAAGGTAATTCTTAGCTTGTGATCTTTCAGCTTTTCTTGTTGAGAAGAATTATCATCTGCTTTCCCAGATCTCTCTCATCTCTTCAAAGTATGCTACCAGATTTCATACTATCCGATTGTTACTTTTCCCCATAAATTTAAGCAAACCATGTGATGTTTTTTAAATAGAAATCACACTGATCAATAGCTTCAAATCATTCTTCACTATTTTCTGGTCACTTCTCAACATCATTCTCAGCATCTAGTCTCAACTATATATGCAACAGGGTCTAGAAAATTGCTTTGCGCCAGGAATAAAATGATGAGGCTAGGGGAGGGACAACTCCAGATAGAAGAAAGATTTGCACAATTTATTTTATTTTTGGGGGTCACAGAAAATTGAGTATGAGGCTTTCTAAACTCAGAAATTCCTGTATCATTACATCTTTAGAGTATACAATAAGAACCACTTTTCCCCATTGTCTCTTCTCACTTTAAGAAATAAAGTGAGAGGAGTTTATGGTTCCTGTAACTTACTAAGCCCCAGCTCTTTTGCAACTTGTAAGATATGCAAAATATAAACTAAGCATTTAATTTGTTCAGTGGTGCTGCCACTCTTGGACACAGATATCAAGATGAAACAACTTTTATATGAATATACTTTGAAATAAATAAAAAGGATTTTACTTGTAAAAATCTTGTCTCCTCAAATTTCTACTTAGAGTCAGTATTCCTTTTTAATAGTGGCTAATTTTTTTAGACCCTGGAACATGACAGTCTTTTTCCTTCCATTCTGATTGAATCATGCTTTTACCTAAGCTTTTCTTTAATTTTGTCATTTTTATTACTGTGAATTAATATATATATATCAAAATGTTTTTATATTTATGGTAATGACTTAATCTATTTGAACAAGTGTCTCTTACTATACATTTTCTCCCTAATTCCTATGGCATTAATGACCAAAGAATAATTTGGCTCACAAAAAAGTCAGGACTCCCATTAAAATGGGAATAAAAATAAAAATAAAACTTTATTATTTTAATAAAATGAAAAACGCTTATTAAGGAAGGTTGCTGAATATTTCTAACTTAATGTTCACTGTGATTTTCACTAATCAAAGTTTCAAGATGTTTTGAAGAAATATTTGCACTGTTCATGTTTGTATTACTCTTTTTCCTTTGTAATTATAAAGTTATTGTTATATTAAAAGTATATATATTTTTAAATTTATATAATTGGATATATTTGTGTAAAAAACATGACAACCCATCAATATGTAACAATATTCTTTCAGATATATTTAACATGCTAGAGCAAGATATTATATAATATTTAATATTAATTAATGGGGATAATCCATTTTATTGTATAAAAGGAAGAACAGAAATGAAGATTCTGCCAGGCACAGTGGCTCAGGCCTGTAATCCCAGCACTTTGGGAGGCTGAGGTGGGTGGATTACTTGAGGTCAGGAGTTCAAGACCAGCCTGGCCAACATGGTGAAACCCTGTCTCTGCTAAAAATACAAAAATTAGCCAGGCGTGGTGGCATACGCCTGTAATCCCAGCTTCTATGGAGGCTGAGGCAGGAGATGGCTTAAACCCCGGAGGCAGAGGTTGCTGTGAGCAGAGATCATGCCATTTCACTCCAGTCTGGGCAACAGAGTGAGACTCTGTCTCAAAAAAAAAAAAAAAAAAATTCTTCTTTAAAAATTATATTAAATGTACATTTAAATGTAAATATAATTTTAAACATAAATTAAGTAAAAGTATATCACATACTTTTGTTCCATATATAGAAAATTTTAAATGAATAATAAACATCTATCCTCTACTGTTTTTATATCTAAAATTCTTGGAGTTTATATTTATTATTAGCAATCCATTTATGTATTCAAATGGATACATTTTTCAAGCTTTCAACTGAAGATACAGAATTCCTATGTCTAACAGCACTCGTTTGAGTACTTGGCAGATTATATTTAGTACAGTGTTAACATAAGCTTTTGGGTTTTAGCCTAAGGGATTTTCAACTTTGAAAAATTTAATGGGGATATTGAATACTAAGTGAAGTAAAATTGGTTAACTCATTTGATTTTTTTTTTTTTCTGTGAGAACATACTGAACACCTGCTAATTCATTCAGATTTTTTACTGTGCCCTAAAACATTTGCCATATTCATCCATATTAGTGTTACAAGAGCACAACGTTAAATTCAAAATGGGGGGAAAGTTTGACATTTCAATTACTAGCTAGTCTTTTCACACACTCTGCTATGTTGAAACTGCTCCCTGAATCTTTCGTCCAGTAAATTGTGCTTCCTGGGAAACTGAGGGGGTAAGAGACTATACCGTGTAGTTTTATAGGTTTTACTGTGTTACTGTTTTATGAAAATGCATCATTTTCTAAATATTTCAATCTTCTTGTAAATTCTCGTCTGAGTACAGATTTTTCATTTTTTATTTTTGGAAATAGGGTGTAATTTTATTTGCATTACATTTAAATATGGGTATTTCATATATGATATAACTATGTTCAAATTCAAAGGTAAATTTTTCATAAAAACACAGATCATTTTCTTCCTCGGAATCTTGATTTACAGAATAAGGTCTCCCGCATCTTCATGGAAGGGCTTTGGCATGCAGCCTGTCTTTGAGTGTCAGTGGTGAATAGATAATCTAAGAAGTGTAAATTTTGTAGCAAAGGCTTAAAGATAGCCAGTGTTGTTAGAGATTCTCTCCAGTATGGAGTTTTTCTTCCTTTGCTTGGTTTCTTTCAGAAGTGATGTAACTACAGAGGAAGAAAGGCTAAATTGACACAGTTGTTCTTTTAAATACGCCTGTCTCCCCACTATACAATGTGAATCAGCTCATGGAATTTCCCATTCCTTAAGCATCTACTCGTCATTTTCATCATCTTGGCTTTCTGTAATGAAATTTCTTTGCCTATTTTTGTAACCATACATCTGCTAATAATAGGCTCTTTCAATGGAAATCGTATTACTTGTGGCACTCACATAATGTGGGGTTGCATTTAACTATTGAAATCAAAAGAAGAATCTCCAGCTTGAGGACAGGGAGATCCTAACTGCTGTTCAGGACTAACTTATTATTTTTTTGGGGGGGAGGGTGGGTAATTGTATTACCACTTAGCAATACATAGGAAAAAATGCATCTAAACTTACCTCTGAAAAATAAGAATGTATGAAGTATGCATTATATTTGAATGGCATATAAACAAGTATATAGATATAAATTCCATAATATTTCCTCTTCTAGGGACAGAACCATCCTTTAAAAGACTCATTCTGGTTTTCCACAAGCACACTTTCTATTATGCACATTTTGAATTCTGCCCCACACTCAGCTGTTATAGAATTATGTTATTTTAAGAAGAAAGGGACTGATGTCTCCTTAAACTTGGGCAACAGAAGAATTATCCAGGTGAAAGAGTTACTCTTATGTTACAAAAATGTGTTTTAGCAGAGAAATGGTAGTGCTTTGGATTATTGCAATATTTTATTCTTTAGAAGAGACTTCTCACTGATAATTTATTCTAAGGTTAAATTATTCATGAAGAAAGCTTCATGAACTCAAAAGAGATGATTTATTTGTATTTTGCAAATACATTTTGTGGGGCGAAGCCAAAAATGGAAAAATGTAATAAAATAATTGGCTCTATCAAACAATAAGCAATTATGATTTTACATTACATTGTGTGTGTGTGTGTGCGCGCGTGTGTGTGTGTTTTAACCTAGAATAATGAATTTACCGATGGGTAAAGGTGAGATAATAATAAACTTATGTGCTTTCAATAAATTACCTCAATTATATGAGAAATATTATTGTGATGATATACAAACATACACATTGCAATTCATATTCTTGACAATAACAGTTTAGAATTGTTTTTCTTTCAGAAAAGTTCATCCTTTGAATAATATAATACAGACTACTGTGATAGTGTCTGATTATCATATCTTCTGTTACTTGACAGCTTATATCTTTTTTTAATAATACATCTTTTTATAAAGATTTTATTATAACCACTTAGCATAATTTTAATGAACTATAAAACACTTTATTCATTGGTTGAATGAAGCAATTTTTAATAAGACTTTTGGCAAGGAGATCGTTAATTTAAACTAGAGAACACTTTCAACTCCATAAGTCTGCAGGGCGTAGTAGTTAAACCTGACACCTTGGATGACACATTAAAAATGTATCAGCGAAAACTCTAAGTGCTTTAATTTAACTAACGGTGGAGAAACAGATTAACACATCTTTAAGCATCTCACACAGTCAGCTAGACATGATGGAAAAAAGTCATTATTTAGCAACTATCAAGTTCTTTCCACAAAAACTTTATGTCCTGATAATAAATAGGCAATTTTTTTAAAGCGGCAAAAATGAAAACTCTTGGTCATAGACTTTCTCAACTATGAGTGACCAAAATGGCTTTTCTTGGGTGCCATATTTCTAGTCACTATGCATATGTCTTTGAAAACAAATTATATGCTCGGTGTTTTTGAAGTAAACATAAAATTATTTTAAAAGATTTTTACTTTGCCATTGTTTGTACTCCAAAATCTGTATTATTTGGAAATGCTATAAAATCAACCTCATAAGCAAGACTTCTGAGATTCCAAAATGCAGCAATGAACAAATGTAAATAGCAGTGAGTATTTCTATTATCAGAGAATACCTTTTGTCCCCACCTGGTAACCAAGTCCTTAAATTTGTAGTAAGTTTACTTAAAACAGAGATAGTATAATGTCAGTAGATATTTCATTAGCCCCACAAAATACATGGAGCTATAATTAAATTTTATGTTGAGATGGTTTTTCCTTGCTATTTTGACAATATTTCCCCAAAGGCATAAAATAAAATTTTTTATATATTGTAATTCATAGCTACAGGGATTTGCTGTGACAGTGGCATTACATTTATTTGACTGCTCTTGTTGGCATAATGTTGTGGATTCTTCTGGAGCACATCTGGATGAGTTGGTACAAAGTGAAAGGACAAAATGTAATCTCAGTGAAAGGATGAATTCCACAGTGCTTGTGTTTCAGGTCTAGGATGTTTATTGGCCTTCACATTGGTGGCATGTGTTACCAAGTGAGTCGGCCAGTTTCTTAAGATCCTTCCTGGACCGATTAAAAGGGGGAGAACTAATATAACTGGGTTCCAGGATAACAGAACTAAGGGCTGCTGTGCAGATTACATGGCCTTTTAATTTAACAAGATAGATAGATGGAAGGGTGAATGAACAGATGGATGGATAGACAGATGGACAGTTATTAAATTGAGTGAAACTAGGAGAGATTGGGTCTTAAGGGACCCTAAATGTATACAGTGAAACGATTTATAATTTTGTCAGGATCCTGGCTCCAAAGCCCTAGTTAACATAACAATTGATAAGCTTAGTCAATACCATGAGGCATCCTTATTGTTAGGATGGAAGCATCCAAGAGCCATGGCTTTGATGAACAGTGATTGCAATCTGACCAGGAAAGTTTATATAAATGATTTGTTTGTGTATTTATTTATTTTTTAATCTCTTAAGTGGCCAAAATAGTATTGATAAAAGGAAATTGAGTTCCTATGAAAGCATGCTTTTGTAATCAGGAATGCTAGCTGACTTGACTCTTACATTTGAATATCAGGCTTCACAATTTCAAATCAATTGTGAAGGTTTTGAGTTTTGAAGAATTGCCAAATTATAATAGTATGTGTTATGTTTAAAGCTCTGTACACGTTAAGACTAATTTTAAAATATCACTTTTTATAAAAACTTCTTGACTAATCCTTATTCCATCTGATAAAAAAGACTTTAAAGATTTCTGTGATTTATGAAGGCTGAAAAAAATCACATTATATTCATTTATTAGAAAAAAATAAACCATCCTTTAGTTTTATTTCCCTGTGGAAAAAAATTTATGTTCTAGATTTTTTAGTCTAAAATTTGTTTAATATTTAGATTCATAATTAGATTTTTTATCTTTGAGGAGAAATTTTCTTAGTGTATGTTAGATTTTTAGAGGCAAAAACAGAAATAAATAAGATATTCCCAATGCATCTTACTACTTTTATAAATTAGAAATCTTAGTAGAAACAGTTTAACAATTCATCTTTCAGAATAACTTCAATAATTTCCCATTATCAATTGATATTTCTGTTTTTTGTTCTGTTTCCCTTTGCTGGTACTTTATACTTTTAGCAATTTTAAAATGTCACTTTGCCTCACTTAGTCTCTTGTTTTGGTGAAGACTGAAGCGTAACTAAATATCTACAATTATGCTTTAAGATAAGTTTTCTCTGGAATTCATGAATAGTTTGTGCTCTTTTTCTTGTTCTCTGTAATACAATCACCACTTCTGTTTAGGACTCATTTTGTAATGCCAGGTGTCTTCGTATTGTTGTTGTAGTTGTTGTTATTGTTATTATCATTAGACTCTAGTGAAAGGAAGGCTTTGGCTGGTCTGTTGTAAATGGCAAAGGGGTCCACAAGAAAATTAAATTGCTCCTCTGAAATAAAGGCCTAAATTTGCATGAGAACACGGATTGTAAAATGAAATATAAATTTTAGCTGGTGAATGACAGAAGTAATTAAACGTGGCACGAAAAGCACAGCCTGGCAACTTCCGTGGATCTAAATGTGGCTAATATTTTTGTTTCTCAAATTTTAAAAGAGAAGCCTAAGTCCTAAATCTTGATCATCATAAATCCCACCTCACCTCCAAAATCTTAATTGCTAACACAAAATCATAGAACAATCAAGGAAGTTGCAAAAGTGCTTCCTCTTTATCACAGTATCAACTATTGATACTTTCCCGTAACTGTCATCAGTTTACTGAAACTTTATCATAACTGACACCTAGAGACAGAATGCAAAGTTTTAATGTTTATGGGAAGCATGTAATTTAGATATTCTATTTAAAAATGGATAGCTATTTTTTTTTATTTCCCAAAGTTGAATTGGTTTCCTTTATAAAAGTCTGAGGATTAAGTAATAAACTATTCTACTTGAATCCACTGCATTGCTTTTAGTCCAATAGCCAACTCTCTCGGTATTCATTTCTTTTTAAAATTATGGTCAGGGAACTTCAGTTAACCAAGTCACTTATTATATTTGTTAATTGTATTATAAAATTTGGATTTTTTTTTGTAAAAATTTAAACCAAATTTGACTAGGTGCATGTTTATAAATAAGATTTCTGCAGTCATTCTTTAAAAATGCTCTGAAGTTCTATGGTTAACATAATTGTTTTGTTAAAAGGAATAAATACCTGCTTTACTTTAAAATCTTAAAATATGCTTAAACAGTCAACTCTCTATAATGAACCATCAGACTCTATAATATATTAATGAATAATTAAGAATAAAAAGGTAAGTAGACTCTTAAAAAATTACACAAATAATCCCCTCTAAACTTTACTACCACAAAAATTTTAACTTATTCAAGGGAAGAAACTTACAGTTTCTAAATATGCCAAGTATCTTTAGGATATACAATTTTTGGTTTTTTTATTTGCTTTGATTTTATTTGTTTGGATTTACAATACTAATTAAGTATTCTCAAAAATGTCTCAAAATGTAGCTAAATATTTGTTTGTTTTTAGGAACTTTCAGAAAATGAAGTGGTTGGATCTTATTTCTCTGTGAAGTCTCTCTTTTGGAGGGTAATGTCTAAATCCTTTTTGTTTATATTCTTGATTTTTGGTTTTAGATAGCAATTTTGAAAGTTAAATGGCAATTAAGAGTTTCACTTTTTAAGATAGGCTTCCAGATAGATGTATTCATTTGCCTTCTTTATTATCTTCTAAGTCATCTAGGTAACTAACACTTTTATTTCTACACTTGTAAAAATAAAGAACTTCATAAATTGAACATATTTCTTTGAAGTCACTTTATGAAACCAAGTTTATTCCAAATTCTGAGAAGCTAGAGTCTCAGGGACTCTCTGGGAATATAATGGTGCCATCTAGAAGGTCCATGAGGGCTCTTTCTTTCCTCTCATGTAAAATGAGACTAGAATTTTCTGCTCCATTTCTGTTCGAGAAAAATATTTACTTCTGTTACAGTGATCTATACTAGAATTCCGTCCTAGATATATACTAATTAGTGCTCTTTCTTTGAAAAGAAATCCTATAATTTAGAAAACAGCAACTCTTTTGATTTAAATAAAGACAAAATGATGATTCACAGATAACTTGTTTTAAATGTCATTTCAATTTAACTTACTCTTTGATGTTTAAAGCGTAATAGCCTCATAATGACCATCCATTTCTTTCTCTGTTCTAATTCTGCATTATGCACAGCACAATTTATTACTAATGCACTTGCTGCTTTCCTTTGAGAATGTTCCTCTTTCTTTGAAAATTCACACTTGGTATATGCTTAATGTAACAATAGATATTGCAACGAAAATGCTACACTCTTAGGGCCTGGCCATTTTCCTTTCTTGGCTCTCAAACTGTTCATGATTGAAAACTATCTTTTTTTCTTTAGAACTTTAGTATTTGCTGTAGTGTCTCTTAAGTAGACTGGCAGGTACCAGATTAAGTCATGTGTTGACCAGTGAGCAAGTATAAGTTACATTTATTCATCCTTACCAGCTTGAATGCACACACACTTTTTTTTTTTGTAGCTTTTTATTGTTGTGAGTTTATTTTAGTAATTACACCCTCTTCATTTACACTGTTTGGCTGCCTTCACTGAAGTTACTCTGTACTTTGCTGAAATAATAATTCCTCTTGTATGTTCATGCATTGTCCCGGAACACACAGAATTAGTGCTTTTAAATTGTTCCATGACTTTAAATGACGGCTTTATCCAAAAACTATTTCACTGGCCGGGCCCAGTGGCTCATGCCTGTAATCCCAGCACCTTGGGAGGCTGAGGCGGGTGGATCACCTGAGGTCAGGAGTTTGAGACCAGCCTGACCAACAGGGCAAAACCCCGTCTCTACTAAATACAAAAAATTAGCCAGGCATGGTGGCACATGCATGTAATCCAAGCTACTCGGGAGGCTGAGGCAGGAGAATTGCTTGAACCCAGGAGGAGGAGGTTGTAGTGAGCTAAGATTGTGCCATTGCACGCCAGCCCGGGCAACAAGAGCAAACCTCTGTTTCAAAAAAAAAAAAGGGAAATGGCACACTTCTTCAGAGTAGACTTTGAGGGTGCTCTGGGTTGAACTTGTTCTATGTGCAGCAAATGTGCACACTGGTCATTGTGAATGAAGATTTGTCACCAGGACCAGCTTCATAATTAATAGTTTTTCAAGTGTTTCCCTTTCAAGTGGCACTCTCAAGATCTTCTTTGCTACTTCCAAGTTTTCCACTTATCAGTACTTTCCATTTGGTTGTTTTCATCCTCAAATATTCTTTAATAACCTTTCTCAATCTCTTGAACTCTTTGATCCTAGAATAACAAATGTGCAACTTTAAAAATAAGCAAGCTTTCTTGTATCCAAGGCCTGGTGGTAATGTCTTCTCTGGGCCTATGACAATGAACAGTTGACAAATGACTTGGGTCATACAGGCAGAACCTTTAGGGGTCATCTGTTTTACCAATGAGGAAAGTGAGGCCCATCAAACTGATGTCATTGCCTTGAGGTACCCAGATGGCATGATCAGAAACAATATTTCTCTCTCTCTGAATGACATACAAATAAATGTTTTGAAGAACTTTGAAGAGCAGTAGAGTCCCTCTTTGAGTTTATGATGAATAAAGATACTTCGTATAAATAAAGCTGTTCCTTAACCTGTTATTTTTGATTGACACTCTTTCAAATTCTTCTTGCATTATTTGACCCTTTTCTTCAGCAGCTGTGTTAGCCACCAATGGATGGATATGTTTAAGAGCCATGAGACTGATGTGTCTGATATGCCATTTACAAAATCAGAAAATCAGTGACCAAGCCTACTTTGTTTGAGTATTGTCTTCCATAGTCACATTCAAAGGTCACTCTGGTAACTAATTGACCCCATTGCTCTTTACCCAAGCAATATTGTTATTCTGATGAACTTTTAGAGGAGATATATATGAAAGGAGGTTATCCAGGGACATTTTCAGATATGCAAACTATCTAAATAGCTCAGATAAAATCTTGCATGAAGAGTATACATGTGCTTTGTGGGTTAAGCAGGATGTGATTTAAAATAAATTCCTATCAGGATTTATACAGATCAATACATGTGTCCAAGAGATAGCAACTGATTTACACTGAGTGAAACTACATCCTAGTAAAAACTTGCTCAGCTGGAATATCAGTGCTACTTGCTATATCTTAATTTTCCTGAGAGCAAAATAATGGAAAGAAAAGACTGTGCACAGGGATAGTCTAATTGTCCGAAAGCATAATATTTGTTATTCATCAAAACACTATCTTAGGATAAAAAATATTAAGCGGTGGATATGACAATTACCATGTTTCTCATGAAAACAATAAAAATTATGAGAATCAAGTTAAGTAAAAATTGTATTAAAGACTAACTTCCCACTTAAAGGTGGTAACTTAGTGCAGTGTTTTCAAATATTTAGCATGCTTACGTTTCTTTTTAGTTACCTGCATTGAGTGGACTTACAGACTCTGGTAAAAGAATTAATTGAACAAACCACCTTACAAGAACATTGCAGTGAATCAAAGATAAATTTAAATATTTTTTCAGTGGAAAAGGCTGGAACATGCCAAGATACTTCATATAAAAATCAAGAAAAGGGTCACAATGGGCAAAGAAGAGTACCTAGAAAAATACAAAGCAATTTAGAAGTTATGTCAGAGTACCGCCTTCTGGTCAGGTCAAGCAAAAGTGTGTCTGAAGGAAGATTGAAGGCTAAGGAGAAGAGTTATTGACTTTTTAAAACAAGAATGGAATCCTGTACTGAAGCACTTACATGCTGAACAACTCGACCATAGATAACATCCACCCAAGATGATTTCAGGAATTATCTCCATTTTTAAGTATGATGTTATTTATACTCAAAAATATGTGTAACTTTTAATTAACAGTCTCAAAAACAAAAAACAAAACAAAAACAAACAAACAAAAAAACACAGGTCTCTATAAGGCAAGCCCAAGACTATTATTCCTTTCCCATATTATTGCTAGAAATTTGTAGATTATTTCAGCAAGCCAAAAAGATTACAATATATATGATGATTTTCTATTTGTATGTATTTTCAAACAAATGTAGTAAAAGCTTTAAAACTTTTCTTTGGCCACGATTAAAGTTAGAGAGGATAGTTAAAACATCTTAAGTAAACGTAAAGAACTTCCTGGCACCATAAATTGTATCAAGAAGCAATGGAAATATAAAAGAAAGTTTAAGGATTAAAAACCAGCAGAATTTCGCTAAGGATTATGGTGCCAGTAAATCATCTTCTAAGAAAAAAAGGATCAAAGCTTTATTATAAGATGAGACACACCAGACTGGGCTGGACAAAGCACCGAGAGGGTTTTCTGTAAAAGCAATCCTACCTTGAGAGGATGGATGGATGGCAGAACAAATGCACTTGTTGGACTTCATCATCCAGGTGCAATTCACTCGAATAAACTCAGCAGGAAAAGGAAAAGATAGAACAGGCCTGTGCCTGGGATTGAGCTAATTGCTCCACACTCGTCTTTGCAGCACAAAACAGTCATTCTAGGCTGCCATTATCTCTTCTTTGTAGTGTCTCGGGGATCATTTGATTAAATAAAAGCACATGCACCCTGTGCTGAAAATAGAAGAAAGAGCTGATTCCACACATGGCTTATTGTAAACACATAAGCAATGTCTTTCACTCCCTATTTCAGTGTCTGGGTCTCATTTGGAAGGATTAGGTTGTACAAAGGTAATAAAATCCAGGATACCAAAAGCCAAGGATTATTTGTACCTATCAGGGAAGGGGATTGGTTTAACTGTGTTCCCTTAGTCTCATATTAAGTCTAAACAGATTTTTTTTTATTTTGATCTATTTTTAAATCAAGATCTAGAAAAATAAAATATCTCATTGTTAGTGATCCATCTTTTCAAGGAATGGAATTACTAAACTTTTTAACTAGAACTGGAATATAGAAATGCTCCCAATTTAGATGCGAGATTCTATGACTTTACCACCTTACTAGCAGACATTAAACTATAGTTTATTATAAAGTGAATAACATATGCTGGGGTTATTACCACCCACCTACTCTTACTTCCTCTAATCCCTTGATTAGCCTTTCTTGATAATCTATAACCAAGGATACATTTCACCTAAGTGACAGGCAAAGTATTTTGAAAACTTCTGTACCGATTAATTTCTTTTGTTGTACCATGAATTTCTTAGTCTCTGTCAAAAAAAGGGAAATATAGGTGGGTGGAGGTGGAAATCATGGATTAGGTCTCAGCAACTCTAGATTCAAATCTCAGCCTTGCCAATCTCTAGTCATTTGGCTTTGAGTGGGGTACTTATCTTCTCTATGCCTCCGTTTATTTACCTTAAAATAAGATTCCTGTCATGAAAAACACTGGAGTGTGAAAACAGCAGCATGTAATAGCTGCACAATAAATGTTCCTTTCTTTCTGTGTGATTTAATCCACCTTTCCGACTGCCCTAATCCAGTCTTCTCTGTTGGCGTTATTAAGACTGACGACTCTAATCTCATCATAATACTATTGTTAAGAAACTTTCTTTAACTGCTCCAGAAGACTTGTAATATAAACTTTCAGTCCCACCATGATAACTTCCCCCCAGGAGTTCCTGTTCAGCTGTATCTGTCTTAATCCATCTTTTGCTACTCTTGGTCTTGGTAGTGAAGGGATCTTTGAGTTACTTTTTCATAGCAAAGGCAGGAAAGGGAGGTGTCATGTGGGACAAAATTTCCCTATTAGTTTAGAGATACTTCTTTAATCATTACAAAAGATTTACATGTGGGATGCAGGGTTAATATGATCTTATTTATTGCCTATTCATATCACATTTATTTTTCTGAAAGCAAATCACTATTCCGACCTTTTGAAGCAGCAGACTTGGAAACAATTATTCTTTTCATGATTTCTCTTGCTATAGTTATTTTCTCTGATACACCTATTAACAAAAACCTGAAATCACTTAATTAGGCTCTATTACTATATAATCTCTGGGCTTCATTTCCTTGACCACTGCAGCATCATTCTACTAAAGAAAATAGTGGCTGGAAATTTAGAGTTGCATTGACATTTATCTTCATTGTGCTATAAGACATTTTCTGACAGTGACTTGAGAAGCAAATACAAATTTTCTCAAATAATGTTTTCTGAAGAGTAATTCAAACTGCTGATCAAAATGAGGGGTTGAGAATGGTACAAACCGTCCCCGTACAGCTCTGATCATTCATTTCCATCCAGACGTGCGGCAGGCCAGCTCTTCCTGTCCTGGGCTTCTGCAAAGCAGAGCTTCAGAGTCCTTATTGCAAAAATGCACAAGTAAGTTCAACCATTCAGTTCATTTATTTTTTTCTGAGCTTGCATGAGCTGTGATTTCTGAGAGCCAACTTACTGTACTGAAAACCCATTCCCTATACTAACCTATTTTGTACATAGGAAAAGGAATTGTAATCTTAATTTTTTTTTCAAGGAATAATATAACTAACACTTTCTTTAAATTGCCAGCTCATTTGTTCTAAAATCTTACTAAAGATACCTGTTATGGACTAATTGCTTCATGCTTTGAAATCTGTATTGTTAACTGGTGTCTTGATATTCTTTATTAATTATGAACTTGGATGAATATTCTTATGAAAGTGGATCCTAAACTTTGGATGGGTGAGAATCACATTGGGCATGTGCTGAAATACAGACACGGCTCTACTCCATAAGAACTGAGTCACATCTCAGAGAATCATGCAATTCCAGCAAATTGACTGCTAGAATTTGAGAACAACTACCTTACAAGTTCAAGGATTATTCTTTCCTTTTAAGGGCTTTGTTTCTGTTCTTTGCTTTGAAGAACTAGATTGGTTTTTTTCTTTTTAGTCTTCTTGCCTTTTTTCTTGTCCCCCTCAACAAGACTTCTAATTCAACAAGGACCTAGTTGAGAGCATTACCTTAGAAAACTAAGTACCAACTGCAATATGCAAATTTTATTGAATGTTATTTTGGATTTGTTTAATACTCTTTACCCTTTAGGTGCTCAATAAGTGATTTTGGTGGACTATCAACACTTCAATAAATATGTGTTATTTAGATATATTTATGAGAAAAATAACAAAGGAAGAAAAGAAGCACAGCTTTTCATAATTGTTCAGTAGGGTCCTGCTTCTCTTTTTAAATACCCTAGATATCTAGACCAATACGTTTCCTAATCAGAACTAAAAAAGGACTTTAAATAGTATAAATAATATTAATGTTAATTTTTACAATTGTATTAATAGTTATTAGAACACAGAGAAGCCAGTGTGCATGCTCCACGTAACTTTCAAGCAAGGATTCTCACACTTGAGTGTGTATCAGAATCACCTGGCGGGCTGGTTAAACCAGAATGCCTGGCTCCACTCCCAGAGTTTCTGATGCTGTTAGTCTGGATGGGGTCAGGGGATTCTAGTTTCTAAAAAGTTCCCAGGTGACATCAATGCCACTGGTCTGTGGACCACATATTTGAGAGATTTACTGTACAGAGGAAGGAAACTTTTTAAACAGAGCAGCAAGTGACTCCGAAGATACCTTGGAGGGCATCAGAATTCCATAGTTTGCAAAGTTTCTTTTTGCTGTGGTATTCTGCCCATCCTCACGCCTTCAATGAGCTCCCCAGAACTTTGATTTAACAAATAAGTAAGAGTAATAAATGACTATCTTGAGCAAGCTAAATCTTCATTGTTGATGGAGTGTACTTCTTTCTCTGTAGGCCCCTGAACACACAACCTCCCTCCACCCGTAGATACACACAGAAAAGGGTTGTTAGTACACTTGGGGCCCTGGAGTACAGTCTTGACAAATCAAAGATAAGAAAATTGAGTCCCAGAGAGAGACATAAACATGCCCAAGTTATATAGCCAGAAATTGCTAGGAATATGTGAGTGAACATTTATGTTCCATGCTTCTCTCTTCTGCTTTTGATAGCCTATGTTTATATCTTTTACCTTTACCTGTAATTTTATTTCAAGTCTCACTTCTTCACGCATAAACTAAATAAATTTAACAGTTTCATGACTATGCAGTTGCTCAATAAAATCTACAGTTGAATTATGGAGTTTCTTTGTAGAAGTACCATTTTGAACAAAAATTATTGAAGAAGAAAACATCACTGAAAAAATATCTGATTAGAATATCTTTGAAACTTTTTTATTTCTTCTTCTCAACCTTATGCACAGGTCCCCATAATTACCATACCCATTAGCCCTGTTTTTATGAAGAAATGTTCTCCTTCTTCCTCCCACTTAGCTCCCCAAGTTGTTTTGGAAATGTTCTTCTGGGTTATAGAACAGCATTTCACAGCAACTAATAGCAGTAGGTAAAGTCTCTATTATGTTCATTTTATTTCTGTGAAAGCATAAAGGACCCCATGGAAAATGGAATCTTTTGTCCTCCTGTGAGCTTTACATGAGAATATGAACTTGACTTACAGAGTGAAAATAACTTTTCTCCCCCTCACTCTGTAAGTCAAGTTCATGTTCTCATGTTAAAAAAAAATGATAGGCCGGGCGCGGTGGCTCACGCCTATAATCCCAGCACTTTGGGAGGCCGAGAC